TACCCAGACAGAACATCGAGCTGATCATATCTAGGAACCAGTGGGTTAACAGAGTTCTACTGACAAGGACCTCACAAAGATGGTAAAACATGACATTTACTCACTTGGGCTGCAAAAGGTTTTGGGGGGGGGGGGGGGATTTTTGGGGTTGTTTGGTGTTGGTTTGGTTTTATATTTTTATTTCCTTGGTGCTCTTTATGCCAGACTAAGAACAGAACACCCCATAACAGCAAGTCCCAGAACAAGGTACAGACAACAGCAAGCCTCTCTCCTGATGTTGTTCACCAAGATGTTTCTAGGGCCATCAGGGATGTCTGCAGTAGGCAGAGCACTGAAGAAACTGCTGATTGCTCCAACATCTCTGCAGTACATCATCAGTGAGGAGGGCTGAGGGATGACATCCTCAAAGATGTCAATCACTGAACAATCGCTGCATTGGTTTGATGTGGTGTGGCACCTCTCAGCTCTTAACTGCAGTTACATGCACCATCTGTTGCAAGATGGGGTCTAGCTGTGAACCCCCTTGCCCTGGAGCAGGGGCTTGAACTTCTGCTATTCCCATTAAGACACGACTTCAGCACACACCCCCCAACCCTAGTTCTCTCTTCCACAACCAGCAGCAAGGGTATCTACAGGAGCTGCTGCTGTTCCACTCCTCTCAGGCAGACCTTTCACTTCAAGAAAAAACATCCACAGAGAACAAGAGAAGTGGCCCAAAAAACCCACACCTGCCTTGTTTTGCCCTCTCTACCCCTTTGTCAATAAGGGCTGGACTTTCCCAGTAAAGACACTCAGGAGAATTTGCTCTTTCTCCCTCTTCACACCCTCACTCTCAGCATTAACAGGACACAGAAGAGTTGTTGGGCCAGTGCAGTACACGAGCCTGTCCCAGTACCCTGCTACATGAACAAGTACAACGCTGGAAAATGCAAGGAGAGACAGGAAAGGGAAACAGCAGGAGCTGAGGGCAGAGTGTTTGGAGGGATACTGATCTCTAAAGCCTTCCTCTCACAGGGGCAGCAGAGAGAAGGCAGTCTGAATGGAAGCAGAAGAGTAAACCTACAAGGCACAGGATCAAAGTGGAGAACAAGCAAAGGGAGTTTGCTTCTAATTGTGATGACAGGACACAAGGATAACAGGGAACATTCTATGTCAGAGTTACCCTGCACTCAGACATGGAAGTCCTGATATTAAAGATCCAAACTCCTGCCTTCCATGAGCACTAGGGACACAGTGAGGATGGGAGTACTTCTCCAGCCAGACATCACAATATAAGAGGAGTCTGAACTAACAGCTCCCCAAGTCTCTATCTTGATCCTAACAGAGCCAAAAAAACCCAAATCAAAACAGAGTTCATTCAGCTGATCTCCCAGTCAGCGTGGTTATAAGCCAAATGAAAGACACACAGTTTAGACCTTGTTGGCAGAGCTCATTCCCCCATCCCATCTCCTCTACCTGGAAGCAGAGAAAGGGTCCTCTAGTAACCTTAAGTCAGGTACTGAGGCTCTCCCAGCTCCAGCAGCTCAAGCGGCTGCTGTGTCTCTGATCAGCCAGTTTTTCTGTTCAAGACTCCTCCCTTTATGAGATCCTGGCAGGGGTGGTTCATTGGACAAGGGACTCTGTTACTAACACAAGAACTAGGCAGCAGAGGTGAGCTGCAGAGCAAAGTGATGGAGGATGGGGACACAGTGACTCATGCATTGCAGGGAGAGTGCAAAACGTACCGTGGCTGCCAGTCCTCAGGGGTCACTGATAGTGATTCTGAAAGACAACATGAAATCAACATGGCAGTTCAGACAGTTCAAGGCAGAGGCCACACAGACTGTCAGGAAGGTGGAACAGACACATGCACTTGCACAGACACACATTCCCACGTCCCCCTCCAGAACACGGCACAAGTGTGCGCTGCTGGGTAGGGCAGCACTCAGCCATGCAGGACTTTGCACACACAACCACAGCCTCAACTTTGCACCCATCCAGAACCCTGCTGTGCACAGGGGTGCGTGGAAAGCTGTCTATCTGATCACAGACTGACTGGCTGTTGCTCACTCACCCACCCAGCAAGTCCACTCACACATCCAGGCTGACAGTCATCCCTCCTGAACCAGCAGGACCTGGGTCTCGGCACTCGTCAGCCATGCACACGTGGCTTGATGAGACACTCACTGAGGATTCCTATCTTCTGACCATATTAAATGTTAAGAGTTGAAACAAACAGCTCAGGAAGGAGGGAGATAACATGCAGTCCTGAGCACTACCCAAAAAGGGAAGAAGCAGGTTAAGATTTGTGTTTTGAAGGTCACAAATCATTATATCAGCTAATCTGACCTCCTGAATAATTAGTCATAAAGCTGTGTGAAGTTATGCTTATAGTGATGCTCATCACTTGCATCTTTTTCCTTAGATGTATCAAAGATTGGAGAATCCATTAATGCCTTCAACAGATTTTTCCAATGGCTAAGTCATTCTCACTTAAGCTTTTTTATTTCTCCTTTGAGCTTGCCTAAGCTTTCACCTACAGTTTATCAAACTATTTTAAACTGAAGATACTAAATAACTGGAGGAATAGATTCATAGTTTTATTTCCCAGAGCAAGTCCTCCTGCACAGCTCCAATAGGCATATAGTCTGAATGCAGTCCTTCACTGCACACAAGATAGGACCTTATATTGTTTTTAACTTTCAGCTCCCAAAGATATGTATTTGGTAATACAGATTTCCACAGTAGATTGAATAAATATTAAGTACAGAAACAGGATGGTAAATCAGTCTTGTTTTAAGTGTACTTAATTATATGCAGGAAAATCTTCCTGTGCAAGAAAATGGACCATGTGGTGTTTATATGTGAAAGCATGTGTCTACACAATTATGTTCATAAAAAAAAAAAGAAGGGGAGCAACACTTGTCTAAGTTCATCATCCCTAAAACCAGACGCTCACACAAATTGGAGGCATAAACTGCCAAACTTCTACACAGGCATCAGCGTGCATATACACACAAAGTACATCCAGCCACCACCATGCACTTCCAGTTCCCTGTGTAACACCAACTCCTACAGCAAAACTCACTCATGCCAGATACAAGAGCTTTGTTCCTCTCGCACACGACACACAGTATCATAGCCTGGTTAGCAAGGGAAAAAGATGAGTATTAAAAAAAGCAGCAATGGAGATGGCATTCGTTCACCCATGGCAGAAGCACCCGAGTCCAAGTGCTAGCAGGGTACATTCTTATTCTATATACAGGAGAGGAAGAGAAAGAGTCCCTTGTCACTGGAAATGCTCCATTCATCAGTGAACTCAAATGACAAGCTGGTATCAGGATCCGGAGGAGTCTATGAACAACTGGAAGAATCAGAGAGGGGGATCAGAGAATGAGCATCACTTCACAGCTTCTGGAATTACATTCTCCAGTCCAGATCAGGGCAGTCAGCAGCATGCAATCCAACCTACCATCTCTCCTTCTAAAGCAAGGGATTGCTCAGTTAAGTATGAAACACCTTCTTCCTCTGCTCCAGTGCTGTTCCCTACCTTCACCTAAACCCTTCTACCTCATGGGAAAGGCAGAAAAGCCACACAGACAGGCTATGACAGATTTCTTCAAAAAAGGCCAATTAATTTCAGCCCATTTTGGGGAATCCTATCATAATGATTAGGTATATAGAATATTTTTCATGAGTGAAGAAATGAAACTGAGTGAAAGAAGAAAGATGGAGACAGAAAGAAGCATAAGTATACTAAAAACAAAACCACAAAGTAACAGTATATGGAAAAGCAGGGTCACAAAATGAAGAGCCAAAATACACAGAAGCATGCTGACATCTATAGGTGCCACCAGCAGGACTGCAGTCCCTGGGGCAACACTGCAGCACGTGCAAATAATTTACTGTGGGAGCTGCATCAAGGTGCATAGGGAGGACTGGGACAGAGGCACCAAGAAAGTAAAACCATTTGCACACACCAGAGTCAGAAACTGGTCTATAAGCTCTTTGGACTCATCCATCTCTGGGCTGGATACAGCCTAGCAGAGAGCACTTCCCCTCCAGACAGGCAGCACCAAGTATGAGCTGGGGCACTACCACAGGAGGGAGACTGAATTGCCTGTGCCGTATGCTAGCAGTGCCCGTTGACAGGCTGGGTGTTCCCACAGAAGATGGCAAAGCTTCAGACACATGTCACCAGCATCCACTGGAGAGGAGGTATTTTCCACAAGGGAAGCGTTCCCTCTGGCACGCCACTGGTGAGCTCCTGGTTATGTTCATTCTTTACTCTGCAACTACCCCTTCCTCACAGGGAGGCCAAGTACCAAATATAAAAGCATTCCCTGTTCCAGACTGCTTCCCAAGTCCTCTTCAGGAAGATGTGCAGAGCTGCACAGGGGATAATCCCTTATTACTGTGTTGAAGAGTGTTTTAAGTGACTGAACAGGAGAGGAATTAAGGTCCTAATGGCAAAGCAAAGCTGTGTGATTGGAACCCTCTAGACTGGAAAATGTTCAAGTTGATTACAGAAGCAACAAAAACACCTAAAAAATCAATTTCCCTGCCAGCAACATCACAATATTCTCCTAGCCAAAAAGGATCTGAACAGCTTAGATGAAGGTCTCTCCAACTCACCTTGAACAACTCTGGGCCAAGAAAAAAAGGGGCAGCTTCAGGCTTTGGGAGCCCTATGCAGAGGGGAACTGCCACTCCCATCCTATGATTTTTCTGGTGACCTTCTCCTAACTTGTAAGCAGAGGTGCTGGTATGATTGCTTTAATAAAGCCCTCAGGTACAAGGTCCTTTTCCCCCATCCTTTGCACAGAGGTCTGTGCAGAGAAGAGGCTGCCCCTTTGCTCCCAGGAGATGCCCTGGCATTGCCTCATCTGTACAATGAAATCTTGGTGGACAGCGATGCTCCTGCCTACGGACCCAATTCAAATATCCAAAGACTGTGCCCACACCACGCACTCCATTCTCCTTCTACAGCCCAGGCAGGCTCAGTGCTGTCAAGGCTGCTGCCCCAAAATGGGACATGTCCCACCTGCATGGAACAGCATTTCAGGACTTACCTGGGAACACCAGGAGGAGCACGATTAGGCCGAGAAGGAACCTGAGGTGGGGGTCCAAAGGGATCAGGAGAGGCACCTGGCCTGGAGGGCACAGGGGGGGCACCACCCAGCGTGGACCCACCAGCAGGAGGTGGCCCAGGAGCTGGGCCTCGAGACCCAGGTCTGGCGGGTGGAACTGCAGGAGCTCTCCTCTGTGGTGTGGGGCTGGATGTAGGAGATCTGGCAAAGAAAGAAAGAAATTCAACTGCAACAACAGGCCTGGGATCCCTCTGTCACCACCAGGTCCCCATATGCTGCCTTCAGAGCTCCTCCTTTAGCCTCATGTCACTTTACACACCACCCCTTGCCTTTCAAGAGCCATGCCAAGCTTCAGGTTGCCTTCAAAGCTACTTCAGGTGCCGTCTAACCTAAGGGTTTAGAAGCCTCCATATCCTCTGCAAAGACATAGCAGCCCTACATAGCTTTCAAGGCTTAGGAGCTTCCCAAGACAAATATCCATAACTCTTCATCCACAGGGAGAAGAGGGGGAGAGGAGGACTCGCTGTCTCTGTAGGAGGCCCCAGCTAGCCACCGAAGAGGCATCAGGCAGGTCTGTGGGGCTCTCCCCCTGAGCCTCCGGTACCTGCGTCCGGATGGTACGTTCTGCACCTGCAGCCAAGAGTCGTCCACCGGTGGGGGCATGGGGGTGCTGATGGTGCTGGTGTTGATGTCCCCGATGATGTTGAGGGCCTCTTTCAGGGCATGGTACATGCGCAGCATTTCGTCACGTCGCTGGGCCTGCTCGGCCGATTCCTCCATCAGCGTATTTTGGTCACCACAGGAGTACAGGTTTGCCAGCAACTCCGAGTGGATAAAGTCCTTGGTCTGTAAATGAGCACAAAGAGGGAATCTGTTCCCACTGCCTTCCCCAAAACACTCTGCTCTGTCCCCACCTTTTCCTCCTTTCAAGCTGCCTTCAGTTTTTCTTCATTCCTTCTTTCCCTCCCTATTTTTCCCCTTCTCTATCTCCCCACCTCCACTGACCACAGTGTGGTAAGTACATTGTTTATCATGAGGTGCATGATTGTCTTCGGCATGAGGTCTCTGATGGTTTTGTTGACAATTGCCATGTAGGAATCCACCAAGTTCCTGATCGTTTCCACTTGTCTCTCCAGTTGAGGGTCCATGGAGTGCATGAAATTGTCTGATCCATTCTCCTCCGCTTCACTGGCCTACAGAGGAGAAACAGATTGGTTCTTCAAAATGTAACACAAAATTACCTTTTCATGAAAGTGCCAAGAGAAGAAAAGAAGGGAACATGCAGGAAGCACATGCAATATAACTTTATTTAAACTTACATTTTGAGCTGTGATTGTCAATGCATAGCTCAGCTTGTACAGACTTCCACAGCTCAGATCTAAGGAGCTTTAACAACAAAGCTGCTCTCTTAGTAGAAAGTTACACAAAGGTGAAAGGCAGTGGGGACCTCCTGACCAACATTCACAGGCTGTGGCTCTAGTGAATAATTAAAGCTGTATTTTTACAGCTTTATGTTCATAAACACAATTTATGTTCTTTTTTATGTTCATAGCTTCCTGAAAGGTTTCTTCATCTGAGCTGGGTTTTCCCCACCCAGATTCAGTTTAGACCTGAGAATCACTCACCATAAATTAAGCATTACAAGCTCTCTGACATACTGCATCTTTATCCTCATTATACAAATGAGAAAACAGATACAGAGGGGTGAAGTAACTGCTCATCTCGGTCAGATCATAAGTAGATGGAACAACCTAGAAAACCTTCCTGATCACTTTAGCTGCAAATCCTGCATTTGCAAGTCATAATTATCTTTTCTTTCACACCAAGCAGATTAATCTCTTCCTGTCTGCCTGAAATGCATTGATTAGCTTTCTGTAAGGTAAAACCTGGACTGTGCTGTTTGACACCAAACAATTGCCAAGGCTTATCCATTTGGGGTCAATTTCAAAGCAGCAAACCATGAAAGACTGCTGTCTTTCTCGATGCTTATTTAAAAAAAACCTCTTGATTTTTATAAAGAAAAATCTTTCTTTTAAACCATCCCAGTCTGAAGGATTTGCAGTGTAGGAAACTACTTTTGTTTTGGGGAAAAAAAAATATATGAGAAAGGGTAAATTCTTTTGTTCATCTGAGCTTTTCCTGGGAAGATGTTACGTAATGAAGGACTGCAAGGTCTCAGTGAGAAACAAAGGAAAGGAAGTGGATGTCAAACAGGACAACTTAAAAAAATTAGGTTAAAAACCCCCAAAATAAGTTTGCATCAAGATTCAGAAGTCATACAAAAAGGGAAAAATAAAAAGAAAAAAGGAAAACCCAAACCAAGAACAGAAGCAAACAGCCAAAATCCAACAGAAGGTACAGAGAGGGCGAAGCAAACGCCTCTCAGAAAACTGTGACAAAAGGAAAAAACAAGAGAGAACCATCCGGTGAGAGCCCCAGGGGGCAACACAGGCAGAAAGGGTCAGACTTACTTTGTCCTTGTCCTGGCAGGCCAGTTTGAGCATATGAGGAAAAAATTAAAAAGGGACAAAAAATAAAAGACGACTTTTAGTTGGTCTGAGAATTCAGAGAAGATCCCATAATAGCACTGAGCAAGCAAAAGACCAATCCCACTAAAAATACACAAATACCTGGATTACCCTGAAGAGCAACAAGTGAATCATTCAGCTAAACTCAAAAACAAAATGGGACACTATGCAAAGGAAATCTTATCGTTAGCAACAAAGGACAATTTACTTACCTACAATGGCTACTTGTTATTTGTTACACAGGGTTTTGAGACAGTCAACCTAAGGATCAGAGTTCCTAGTCAAACCACCCCATTTGCACACCAATAGGTGGCACATGTCCTTTATGAGTACATGTTTAAGAAGTCCAGTCTGGTTCAAAGGCAATTTGAAGTCATGTCACTGTTAAGGTCCAGTCCCTAATCCTCTTTTTATTTAATAACCCACCAGTTTGTCAGGAAATGCTTTAAAGTAAAAAACACAATCTTCAAGTGCAACAGGAGAAATGAGTGCAAGTGTATCAGAAGCAACAAACAGATAAGCAATTATCACTTTTCTAATGGGAAAACTATTTACAGCAGCTTCCTCTCACAGAGGAACAGGAAGGCTTTGAACAGGAACATACACCACAGTTCTCTAGAACATACTTTTAAAGCAGAGCATAATGGTGACAGCAAATGTTGTGGGACAAGGCTAAGGGAAGAGATAAGAGGTCTTGCTAAAGTAGAATATTAAGGCATCTGCCAAGCAAAAGAAAAATTTAAAGAACATCCCTTCCTAATTAGGTGGGGGAAGGAATGGAAGAACAGTTACTAATAAGCCAGGAAGCTCCAAACAAGGCTGTACAGTGTTACTAGAAAGGAATGGTGCCTTTAATCAGCAGACACATACCACCTAGTAGTCATGTAGTTAAAATGTCCTCCTTATATTGGGAATTTAATGCCCACAAAACAAGAGAGCTAGAAGGGTTTATCAAGGCAGGTTTTGGCTACTTTATTTCCCTTTTGAAGCTGTCAGTTACTTTATCTCAAGTTTCCTCAAAGGAAGCACCAGGACATACCAAAAACTTAAATTTGTGTTCCAAACTATCCTCAGCTGAGGAAAGAGACGAAAACCTTCATGGACTTATTTTTAACATAAAAGGATGCAGATATCCTTCCTAAGATACATGCTGTGTTCCTTCTTATCCCCTTATTAAGGCTGTAACTTACCCCAACACGCTCTGGGTAGACTCCTGCACGAAGGAAGGAAGCCTTCCAGCTATCCACCTCCTCCTGGGTCTCACAGGCCAGCTCCAGCTGCCGGTAGTCCTTGTAAACATTCCTGAGAGGAAGACAAACATTTTATTCTTTTCTATTGCAATCAGAGAATTACCCATATTCAACAAAGATGTCAATGAGCAGGGAATCTTCCTATCATTTCAAGGCAGAGACACTTAGTTCCTTGCTAGTACCCTCATGATGACCCTGCAGAAGGGAAAGGAAATGATTTTTTTTTATGAGTAAATTTGATTGCCCTCAAATCAGTGGAGTGTTTCAACAGGGCCTGAAAGAGATTCCCTTTTCAATTCTGCTCACTGCTGGACTTCTCCAGCCAACCTGGGTCCCCTGTCTCCTATGGCTTTCCCCAGTCACTCACTAAGAACATTGATTATAAATACACTCTCCAGCCACAGCCAGACCCAGGTAACTACACCAAATAGCTGAAGGCTAAGGTCACACTGCAGGCCATGCACTGGTGAAGAAAGAAAATAGTATGCATCTGTAAGACCAGAGGGAATGAAGACAGACTTCTTTTAAGAAGTTCCTCATCTCCTCCAAAAATGGCTATCCTTAAAGGATACGCACATCTCTTGGACAGCTATCCCAACATACTCATCTCTACCCCCTCCTATCTAATATTACTTGAGTCCTATCCTAGCTTCAACAGCTTGGCCTGCTGAGGTGGAAGCATACCTCTGTTCAGTGTTGAAGAGAGCAAAGATGTGCTTGCTGGACATAAATCCCTTCTCAACATCTCGCAGTTTCAGGTTATCCACTGGTAACATATACTTCTTCTCCTTCTCCTGAAAAGGGGATCAGTAAAAAGTCACTCACGGCTCCAACAAAGCCTCTACTCTGCCAGCACGGAGGAGTCCATCAGCACTACAGCTCCGACATCACCAGGGAGGCATTCTCAACCCAGGTCCTGTGGTCCCTTAAGTCTATGAGAAAAGGAGATCTCTAGAAACAAGTTTGTCCTCCTGACTGCTTCTGTGATGTAGCCCAACAGTCCTGCCCATTAACTCCTCCACAAGCAGGCAACAGCATGGCATTGTCCCAGTCCCAGGCTGTAACCAACACTGAGGTCCTCACTCTTCCCAGCAAGGGACAGTCATCATCAAGACCCTCACTAGTCACATCAAACCCAGAGCAGGTCTGCCTAGGAAAGGCTCCTCATACCTCTGTTCTCAGGACAGCATTAAAGCAGGGAAACACTGCTGCTGGTCAGAGAGGAGGCAAGGAGCCCTCAAAGCCTCACCGTTGCCACCTCAGCATTTTACTTTTAATCACCACAAGTCTATATCCAGGTTCAAGAAAAGCCAGACATGTGATAGAGAAGCTGGTTTGACACAGAAGTTACAGACTACATCAGCTTAAATTCACCTCTTCAGAAAAGCTGAACTTCTCACTGTCCTACAATCTACTGGTTACTGGTTTAAAGTATTAATTAAGCAATAATAAATATGCATCAGAAGATCGAAGAGCAGGTCTGGCTACAATAATACAGGTTACTATAAGGTTACCTGAAGGCCTTCTGTGTTGAAAAAAATCAAGGAACTACGCACATTAATGAAAATCTTGTGCTCTGAATGATCAGAAGCTCAAGCAATATGGGCAGTTTACTGCTTGGTGAATGTTAAAAACCAGAATCTGAAATTTTAATGAGCAGACTCAGAGAGCTTTAAGGGTCCCATTTTTCAGAGTAACTGCCATCTACAACCCTCCAGGCTGGTTCTTATGAGACATCTCCAGCTAAACACAGAACAAGGCATCCAAAAAATAACCTTAATATTTTTGACCCTAGGTATCATCTTTTAACACACAAACTTGGTCTTAATTTTTACATTTACATTCAGAAACTAAACCAGAAATCATTCTCCCTGCTTAGTCTCAAAACTGGATCTACAGCAAATTAACAGAAGTGAATCTGGTTTAAGGTTTCTACTTGGAACATCCTGTTCCAGCTGGGTATTATACCCCAACATAACAAGAGAGGGAGCCATCACACTGATCTCCAAATGCAGCTATCCAAGCTATCCTATTTCCTACCCTGAAACAGGAACAGAGTGCACCTTTGTGTAAAAGCATGCATGTGTGACTGTCCCCCTGCGAGCATTTGTGTTTGTAGACCTTTCTTGGATGGAAACAAAACGTGATTGCTCCCAGGGGAAAGAAGAATGGAAAACAAGGATGGCCAGTGAGCAGAGATCCTGAAGAGCTAGCTAGAGAAGAGGGACAGGGCAACAGGTAAGGATGACAAACTGCTGGGCTCAAACACCCAAGGGATGGCAAGTCCAGCCTAAGTTTCAGTTAAATTGACTCGAGTTTGCTAAGGATATCAGATGCTACACAGTTCAGACATACCCTAAAGATCAAACTGTGCTAGTCCATTACAAAATTAACACCAAAAGAATATCCCAAAAGCCAGCACCTGGAAAACAGAAAAGGTCACCTGGGTAGCTGCCAAACTGTCCATTCTCTCTCAAAGGTGCCAGGCTATGAAAGCAGGAGAGCTCTTCCAAGCAGATTTCCTGGGATTTTTTAACATTGTTGATCAGTCTAGATTAGAAGTGCACAAGCATTTTTGCGATGGGACATCTGTCAGCCAGGTACTGGTCTTGGAGCCACACAAACCACTTCAGGTTCTGTAAGCCAAAAACAGCTTCCAGCTTTCTCTGGATCATTATTATGCTGGTTTACATTGAACTAGTGACCTAGAAGTGAAGTACACCAACTACTAAGTCCCTAGGCAAGACAGACCATCCTCAAAGCAGTCTCACTTAATTGGAACTCCCTGCATCCACCCCACAGAGCCTCTGGGATAGTAAAAAACATAACTGATGTTAAAGCTGTCTGAGAAAAATCATTCTGCATTAGAAGCACATCATTCCATAGAAGTTTAGCAACAGAATCATTCTTCAGGGGAAAAAAAAGTCAAAAGGTAAGGGAATCCCATGTCCCAAATATGGAAATACATGCTCTTTGCCAGGGTTCTGACTTTCACCCCTTCCAAGCTCTTGCACAAATGTTGCCACGTGATCAAGGCAACACTATCTCTGCACACTGATCTTTCCACACACCAGAGGAAAGATGTGTATATCTGTCTGCCAGCATAAAATATCAGTCCTCTGACTCTGAGGTAGCCAGAGCAATCAAATGGAGGACATTGGTGCAATGCAAGAAACCCCCAGCCCACGCGTGCTGCAGGGCAGTGCACACTGCAACGAGCCCCCGACGCTCTCCATCGCCCCACACATCCCCCCTCCCAGTCCCCCACTTCAGTCTTTCCAGCTTCTCGGTTTTCAACCCAGCCTGTTTTATATCAACACTCTGACTTCATTTCCTGAATGTAGAGACAGGAAAGTGTGGAATGAGCTGCCAAAGGCTGAGCCTCTCAAAACTTTGGCTGAGCCCTCTGCCCATATGTTAGCAATCTGGCAGTATGTGCTATGGCTGAACAGCGTCCCAGCCAAGAGGGGAAAGGGCTTCTCTCTCTCCTGCTTTCCAGATCTGGTGGGGGGGAAGAGAAGAAAGAGCCAGCACACATCGAAATGGGAAAGTAGTTTGTGAAATACTATATTCAAAGCCTTCTGTCTGATCCCGAGAGGCTTATGCTACTCATCAAATATCTCCCCTCATCTATAAGGGAAAAAAAAAAATCAGGCAAAACTCTCTCAGCAGCAGAATATATGTTATATAAAATACAGACATTGACTGCGAGTTAATCTGTAGAGCCTTGAGGCCAGGGAGAGGTAGTGAAGTGGCAGAAGCACTCAGACTGGCTGTACACAACAGAATATGGATGCTCAGTGTTGGCTCAGTGCCTACAAGGGGACTAGCCACCCCTAATCAGGGCTGCTGCTCCCCACGGGAGTCACACCACTCACAGGGAGAACTGCAGAAAGATGACTGAAAGCTGCTCCTGCACAGGCAGGATGAGTGCCAGAGGATTACTCCCCTGCCTCCAGCATCGTGCAGATACAGCCATATGGCTCTGTACTTTGGATCTACCGAGGAAAGAAAATACACATGGCCAGGAAGGAGACCAGGATCCATCAGCCGTTCCAATTGTGGGGTGTAAAGCACAACAGCTGGAGGAAAAAAGGAATGCTGCAGTTGCAGCCTGATGTTGCAACATCCTTATTGTGGCTACACACCTCCTTATTGTGGCTAAATTCTACAGATTGGCTTTGGCCAAAGACAGCAACGGCTTGCACTATTATCTGAATTCTTTGTTGCTATCCTGTAGGTAATAACCTAAAAGAAGTTCACAAAATTTAGCAGGCAACAAGCCAGTCTGACTCAAAGCATTTCCTCCATTCGACTGGACTGCCTCAACAGCAAGTTAAATTTTCCTGCTCTCGGATACATGTGAAATGAAGCCGACAGATGCATGTGTGGGCTCCCCTAAGGTTGGAAATTGGCACTCGCAGTACAAGTAATTGGCAGAATTATTAGGTCTCAGTTTGCATTAGGAGCACAAATAAACTAATTAAAGGTTTCCCTGTAGCTGTTATGACAAACACCTTCTTTTGCACAGAGACAACGGTCTGTGGATATGGGAGAAAGAGTATTGCCATTGTTTTAATTGGTGGCTGTGTGAAATTAGGAGAAATTCATCTTGCTTAAAGCTCTTAATCTCCTTTCCTTCTTGTAAGACATGAAGCGCTATGGGTAAACAAGCCTGCCCCAGAGCTGACTGGAGTTTCAGTCAAATCATTTGTGTTAAACACATGCACAGCATTTTTAGAGGCTCCTCTAATAAAACTCTGCTCAAATATAAAAACATTAATATCATAATTGATAATAAACACTGCTTGAATACATGCACACTGTGAGATTATTAGGAAGAAGTCTCTGAAAAACAGCCTGGGTTATTTGAAAGCAAGTTAGATGAGCCTTTTAAGGTGAATCACCACCCCACCCCCTGAAATAAGACATTACCAACCACTTTCTGCTTCTTGTCTTTGCAAACAAAATGAGCATTAGAAGAGCTGAATTTCTGAGCTACAATTCTTCCAGGAAGTCCTAGTCACCCTCATGCATCTTAAGAACATCTTTCCAAAACACAGCCCACCTGTATCACTTAACTTTCACCCTCAGAGCACAATTTACTGGACAGTGCAACCACTGCTCCAAGCTGCAAAGCAGCTGTAATGGCTTGTTTACATCAGAAAGCTGCTCTGGTTTAACTTAAACAACACATCCTAAGATTTTAAGCTGATTTAGTTCAAAAGCTCTGTAGACACTAGGCCTGGACTCATGTGATTAATCACAACCATTACTGTTGGCTTAGTAAGCACAGCAATGGTCATCAACTCACCTGCACAAGAGTAAAGACTTTTACATCAGCTAAAATAACACACAGATTTAACCAGGCAGCTCAGTACAACCCTAGGAAGCCATCAGAAGGTGTAAGAGAAAGCACAGGCAGAAACTGAGCAGCTTAAGAGAAGCTGCAGTGCCCAAAACTCCATTGTCACAACCTAAGGTCACAGCAATGCCCACCAGCCTTTGCCAAGGACAAGCACACATTTCTTCCCTCGTTTGCCCCTGTGCCAGGGCAGGGATGAACCGTCCCCAAGTATCTGACTTGCTTTGATGAGGCAAAGTGCAACACATGTTAAGTATTACACATCTTCAGAAAAAGAAAAAGGTTGGTTACCCTTCCCCAGTGCATGGTTAGAGCCAAAGCGGGAGTTCTGGGTATTCCTATGTTTGACCACAAATCTTAACCATACAGCAGCACACACACAAGGGAAGGGGACTCTGGAGAGGAGGTGCAGGCTGTACATAAAGCTCT